ATTGATCTGCAGCTGCCCATTCACCATCACCTCACGCATGTGCACGACGTGCACGTGTGACGGATCAATGCACCGATTCGGTTTTGTAATTACACGTTTAAGCATCAGTTCCTTAAGTCTTCCTGTCGATGAAATCTGCTGTCCTGCTTTTGGCGTTAAAGGACCGTTTCTGTCGGGACTGTTTTAGATGCGACGCGCTCTGAGCCTGGTCACTTCCTGCCTGATGATAGTTTGTGTTAATGAAAGAAAGTTCAAGTTATTTTCGTCACGTTGACGGTAATTTCCAGTTGTGGTGAAACATTAGCATTATTAGCATCAGTTAGCGTGTAGCGGCTAATGCCGTGTCCAGTTGTCCTGTAAGGAATGGACAACGGGGCTGGATGGTAACTCGCAATAAAAACTAAATATCTGTAAACGAATAATCCTGATAAAAGCATTTTCTCTCTATAAAAGTTTTTATGGATGTAAATTTGGTTTTGCAACAAAACTTTAGTGTTTTGTGTCAAAAAGGAAATAAAAATATTTCTTGTCACTGGTTTGAACGATCTGCCGGTTTCCAAACCGGCATTCAGTAATATTACTAACAGCCTTCAGGTCAAAGGTCACAGAAAACCCAAACATTTTAATGAAGGAGAACTTTGTTCAGTCAACATCCTGCTGGAATCAGAGCAGCCAATCAGAAGTGAGCTCACCACTTCTCAACGTCGTCATCTCACAGCTGAATTATCTTCATTAGAAGTTCCTTCAATCAACAACAGAACGTTGTTCTTCAGTCTCGCCAACATCAGGATAAAGACCCAATTAGCTTCCAGCAATAACAGTGGTGGGAGGCGAGCAGTGATCCGCTCGCTCCCCGTTAGGATGAAGCGGTCGTTAAAACCGAGGCAGCCAACGAGTTGGTCACATGACCCCCGTCAGAGCAGAAGCAGCACAAAGAACTTTAATAATCATAAAATCATCTGCTGATACGTTTGTCCCAGATTAAGACGAACCAGTTTGTCCTGAGAAGAAAGATTTAATTCAGTTCAACAGAACAAAATTTATTCTGATGCTGTGAAAAGTGTGAAGTTGTGAAACAGAAATCAGAACTTGGGTCATTTTGGTGAAGCAAGTTAGAGAAATGAAGCTGAAATCTCTCAGATCTGATAGTTTATCCGTTTTTGCTGTAAAGTCACAGTTTTTACTAGCGACGGGTACCGAATTCGGTACTTTTTAAAGGTACCGACCACATTCCACAGTTCCATAGATGATGAAACCAGCGACAGCGATCTAAGTGAGACATCCTCATCTTAATCTGCTCCGGTAGGTAAATAAAATGTTTAAGATAATGTTAGCTTGATTTGTTAGCTTCCGTTCCGCTAATAGTGCGTCCGCTTTCTCCTCGGAACTCCGAATTTCCGACTAGAAGAACATGAACGCGCTCTAAAGTTTGGCTTCACTTTACTAAATGCGACGGGTGATTGGGTGAAGATGAAACCAGCGACAACGATCTAAGTGTGAGGCATCATCGTTTTAATCTGCTCCAGCAGCTAAATAAACTGTTTAAGATAACGTTAGCTTGATATGTTAGCTTCCTATGCCACCGTTGTTATCATCTAATGGTGCGTTCGCTTTCTCCTCGGAAATTCTAACTTCCCAGTAGGAAAAATCAATTTAAAAAAGACGGCAAAAGGAATGAAGATACACAGTAAATTTAGTTCACAGTAAAGATGTTTGCTTCAGTTTAATTATCAGCTTATAAAACTACAAGGACGATGTTAAAATACAAACAATTACATGTTATTTATCGTGATATTTATCAAATATGGTTATACAGTATATTGAGAAAAATATATATTTAATTATAAAAGAGAATTAAAATATTAAACACTCAAAAGTATCGAAAATTGGTACCGTTAAGTACCGGTATCGATTCCTAGGTACCGGGAATTAGTACCGAATCGATTCAAATGTCAAAGGTACCCATCCCTAGTTTTTACAAAATGACGTGTCAAGAGCTCAGTTAGGAGCTAACCGTTAGGGCCCGCTCAAAGCTTTAATCTCTGATTTTATTTAAAAATAGATTTGGGTTTTTATTTGAAAGTGAAAAAGCCTGACGCGTTTTCATGTGAGAACAAAATAATCCACCGTATAACCGAAACGACCCGATCCGAGCCCAAATGAGTCCCAACATCTTTCCACAGCGGGAACTGAAGCGGCGTCCGGCGATGGCGTCACACCCCCGCCTCCCGTTTGTCTGCATGCAGCTGTCGGTCGGAGGCGTAGAAGGGAACAACAATAAACACTAAAGAGCCCCAACACCTGCTCTGCATGCAGCCGTGGTCTGTTCAATAGGTGTGGGAGACATGCGACGCCTCCACCTGCACACCTGCATCACCCTCTGCTCGACTTCCAGCTCCTCGTGGGAGGAGAACACGTTTGTGCCCGGAGCACGGAAACCACGGAGACATGTTGAACACAGACATAAATATTAGAGCAGATATCATCAAATATTTCATCGCTTTCATTACTTCACCCCTCGACGAGCGCACCTCCCTTTGCTCAGGGGTTAGAGAGGCTGCTCCAGCCCGCCTCCAGCTCACACAGAACGCTGCAGCTAGATTCCTGACAGCCACCAGGATGCAGGAACATGTCACGCCTGCCTTAGCTCGTCCCGTCTCGTCTACGATTTGTTTTAGAGTCAGGTTTCAGATGCTTGTTTTTGTTTGAAGTCAGGGCTGTGCTCCGAGCGATCCGTCTGATTTACTCACACGGTACGATCCTCCACGTGCACTCGGATCATCACAGCAAGAGACATCCCAGTCGTTCCACGTGTAAAACGCTCCACTAGAGGAGGCGGGGCTTGCTCCGGCTTGACCTCTTAGCTGTGGAACGACCTTCCACTCAAGGTCAGACAAACACCTTCGCTGCTGGTTTTGAAGAGTCGGATGAAGACTCACTTTTATCCTGTTTGGTTCTGTTGTTCTGTTTCTTTTATTTGTTTATATGCAAGTCTTTGTTGACCCTTGCAGGGGTCATTGGTTTTTTATGCATGCACAGCACTTTGCATGGAGAGTGCTTTAGAAATAAAGTTGTTGATGACGACTGATTAAAGTATATAAACATCGAAAATCTGCTGAAAATGGGAACATTTCTGGAAAATCTTTTAAAAAAAAATTTTTTTTAAGTGTACTCACTGCTCTTCTGATTTTTTATCTACCGATTTTATTCATTTTGAAAATCAACAGTCATCTAAGAACCAAACTTCTGAGGAGACTGAAACTCCGCCCCGAACCCAGGTGACCTTCATGCTGCCTAAAATCAGGAAAAGTGGGAACAGCAGGAGAACAGACGACCATCCAAACAGTCTTTAAGGACCAGGAATTGATTAATAAAAGATCAGAACCAGGACCTGGTAGCTGCTCGTTGGGATTTAAGTCAGTTTATTTATATAAAACAAGTTTATTACAAAAAAAAATAAAAAATCATATAAAAGCACCCAAACCGGGCGATCTTCTGTTTGAGCTAAAATTCAGTTTTCTGTCGAACTTTTTTTGTTTTTATCTTTTATTTTTGTATTTTTAGAAAAACAGATTTTGTCTCAGTGACAAAAAAACTAAAAAGAGTAGGTTAAATTAAAGGCGTAACGAGTGTCCAAGTGATGAAGCTCACCTAACGGGGCAAAACCCGTTCTGGTTCTGGGATTAAAAATTACAATTAGATCTCCTGAACGTCTGACTCAAAACCATTTTAAAAGATAACAGGAAGTCAGTCTGGCTGCTGGGAAGGAAAAGGTTCTGAAAAACAAGCTGAGGAAGATTTTCATTTCATCATTTTTCAGTGAAGTAAAAATATTTCTGTTATTATTAAAGGGACTATAAGGAAGTTTGACAGCCAAAACATGAATAGAAATAATAAATGTCTTCTTCATACATTCTCCTGCAATGCCCTGGTCCTGTAGAATGAGCCCTGGCATTTTTACTGTGATTGCCTGTTTTTCTGTAAAATCACAGAAAAAGAGAGATGCTCGGGTCGAGCAGGCTGCTTCATGCGCGTTCACGCTCAGGCATCGCCCGTAGCATTTGCTATCCGTAGCTTTAGCAGCAGAGAGAGAGGCAGTGCCACTTTGTCGCTGTTCCTAACGCCTAGTGATGAACCTAGCTACATTTCTGAGGACCCTTAGCTACTTTCTTCTAGATATTTCCTGCAAATTAGCAACAACATAGCCATTTTCACTCCAAACCGTTCTTTGGTTTGACGTTGTTTCAGCTGTCATCAAGGATATAAATGTTACAGATAGTGTAAATGACCTGGGTTTGATTCTGGATGTGAACATAGTTTATTTAGAGTTTCTTTTTTACATTAATGGTATATTTTTTACAGTAAGATGTCCAAATTTTTATTTGAGACTCGCCGAACAGCATTGAATTCACAAATAAGAAAGATGTGGGTTCAACTTTCATTTTGGAACAATTTTTCAAGCAAGGGAAGGGAATGATCTGAGCATGCAGGAGGACTGACCCATCATAAACCTTTGTCGGCTGTGCTGAAGAGAAAGGTACAGAACCACATTATTTAAATATTTAGCTGCTCGTTCTCCTGTCCTCTGTACTCCGCCCCCCCCCCCCCCCCCCCCACACACACACACACGGGACTGTTTCAGCTGTTATTTTCGTTAAGGAGTGTGCACGTACAGCATGCGCGCCTCGTGCACGAGCCTACTATTGAAGCTGCCGTTATGCTTTTGGCCTGAGGGGGCAATCATGAGCATAAAAATTCAAAAGTCCGTAAAGTCCCTTTAACAGAAAGGAAATAAGGAATTAAGGTTTAAACTTCATAGATTTTCATAATAACTAAATCTAACAAAATCAGAATATTAATTTCACTCGTTTTATTTTCTGAACACGTTTTAAAAGCATCTTTACTTCCTTTCAGGCAGAAACGAGACGAATCCATCAGAGTTTAAACAAACTTTGACCCAGAGATGTTTTCATGTTCAGGCGGAAAACCCACCATCTTACCTTCATCAGAACCGACTCGCTGAGCTTTTCTCGGTTGACGATCTTTATGGCGACTTTCTGACCCGTGACGCAGTGAACGCCCAACTTCACCAGACCTGAAACACAAAGAAATCACAGTCATGCCGGAAGTAGAAAATAAGATTTCAGGAGTGAGTTTAACAAGAAGTTCCAGCAATAAAACATAAATATGCAGCTTTTTTTTCCTCGTAACTTCACATAATAAATCAAAAAGCTTGAAACACGAAGATCATCTGACCCCAGATGATTCTCAGGAATAAAAGGAAAGGCGTGCAGACGTCACCAACAGACAACAGGACTGATCTAAACAGGAAGTCTAAAATGACCTTTGGATTCTTGTTGGAAACAAAAATATAAAACAAACATGAATATAAATTCAATCAACACTTGAAGGGTTTTGCTGTTCCTGCTTCGGAGCTCCTAAAAGATCTCCTCTGAGCTCACCTAACACCACTCTCATAGCAGAAATGTCAACACGCGATCCCTTCATCTCGTCGCCGTCACAACGTCCTCATCCATCCTCATCAAAGCAACGACACCAGCCGGCGCGTCTCACTTTGTACCGAAGGTCTTCTGCCAGCAGCGGAGATGCCGCCGTACATATGCACCTCATCATTACCTCACGCTGCATGTTCACCCCGGAGATCAGTCTGAAAGGTGATTTCCCTACGGCCTGTGTGTGTGTGTGTGTGTGTGTGTGTGTGTGTGTGTGTGTGTGTGTGTGTGTGTGTGTGTGTGTGTGTGTGTGTGTGTGTGTGCTTGTGTGTGTGTGTGTGTGTGTGTGTGTGTGTGTGTGTGTGTGTGTGTGTGTGTGTGTGTGTGTGTGTGTGTGTGTGTGTGTGTGTGTGTGTGTGTGTGTGTGTGTGTGTGTGTGTGTGTGTGTGTGTGGCAGCCTCGGGGCTCTTTTAAGTCACCGGTTAGAACAAGAACAGGATGACATTCTGGTCGAATCTCATTGATCTTATTGTTGCAGAAGCTTGATGGTTTAATCTGCCTACAATCACTCTTGGTGAAGAGAGCCCTTTAACCCCCCCCCCCCCCCCCCCCCCCCACACACACACACACACACACAAAGAACCAGACCCAAAGGGCACAGACAGGAATCACTCACACTCCTTCATGTGTTCATGGTCAACTTGTTCATATTGGTCCATTTGGGTCCGCTAGGTCCTAGTATCTCGGGGTCTTGTTCACGAGTGAGGGAAAGCTGGAGCGTGAGATCGATAGGCGGATTGGTGCTGCGTCTGCAGTGATGCGGGCGTTGTACCGGTCTGTCGTGGTGAAGAGAGAGCTGAGTCAGAAGGCGAAGCTCTCGATTTACTGGTCGATCTACGTTCCTACCCTCACCTATGGCCATGAGCTTTGAGTAGTGACCAAACGAACGAGATCGCGGATACAAGCGGCCAAAATGAGTTTTGTCCAAAGAGTGGCTAGGCTCTCCCTTATAGATAGGGTGAGAAGCTAGGTCATTCGGGAGGGGCTCGGACCAGACCCGCTGCTCCTCCACATCGAGAGGAGCCAGTTGAGGCGGCTCGGGCATCTGGTCAGGATGCCTACTGGACGACTCCCTGGTGAAGTTTTCCGGGCATGTCCAACCGGGAGGAGACCTAAAGGTAGACCCAGGCCGCGTTGGAGGGACTATGTCTCTCACCTGGCCAGGGAACACCTTGGGATTCCCCCGGAGGAGCTGGCCCAAGTGGCTGGGGAGAGGGAAGTCTGGGCCTCTCGCCTTAGGCTACTGCCCCCGCGACCTGACTCCGGATAAGCGGATGAAAATGGATGGATGGAGGTCCTGGTTTTAGTTCATGTATGGATGTTTGCTTGCAGATGCTGCCGTGTAATCCATCGTTACTCCGAGTCGTTAACGACGCGCAGCGACATCACGTTTGATTCAAACTCTGTAAAACTGGCTGAGTTACACGTTGATGTTTGCTAAAGCCGCTAACCAGCTGTGGCGGCCATCTTGCATCAGGTTGTAGACACTTATCCAATGATCTCATCCTCAGAGCTTTACTTTTCTTTTTATTTATACAACGCCCAATCAGGAACAGTCGTCGGTTACAATTTAGCGACAAACTAGATCAGATTAGCGGTTAAAAAATAACTCAAACACTTTTTATTCTGGATCAAAGATGTGATAAACGACCGCGTATGTTGGATCTGAGGGTGGAACCATCGGCCCGTGAGTCCAGATCATCACACATGGACTCAGCCACAGAAATCTTTACACCCAGAGAATAATAGCTAAGTCAGCAGCAGTCTGTTTCGGTCTGACGGCGTTAGTGCACAACCCGGTTAGGATCCCATTAATGATCTAATCCGCCCGTTCGATGGGACCGGAAACGGGACAACGAGCATGCGATCTGAACAACAGACACCACCGTGTGAGAGCCCGCAACCAGAGCAGTCCGGCAGGAGAGCGCCAATCTTTAACCCGTCAGCTCAAATCTGTTCCCGTGGAGTTGTGTTACTTTTGTGGTCGGATAAAATATTTCATTGTTTATTTCTTTAAGCTAAAGTTAGCTTATTTCATAAATTCATTCATCAAGGTACCGGGTCCAGGAGGGATACCCAGAGCGCGGAGCTCCTCCCAGTAGACCCAGAGGTGTTCCCAGACCTCCGGAGAGGGTTTCCTCCAAGTGGGGAGTGTTTGGAACACCTCCAGAGGGAGGCGACCAGAAAGCTTCCTCATCACCATCTCAGCTGGCTTCTTTTGACGAGGAGCAGATTCCCTACAGAAGAAAATGGATTTTGTCTCCTGGATTCTTCTAAATCTTATGACCCCCAGGAAAGGGTTCAGACGGACATGTGAACCTTTCAGCTCAGCTCCTCCTTTAGTACAACAGACGAGATTCAGACCCGTCACTCCAGGTGGAGACAGACTCCAAACCTATTTCCTGTTCTGGGCCGTGGCTTCAGAGCTGGAGGAGCTGACCATCCTGCCGCCAAACCTTTCCAGAACCCCGAGGTTTCCCAATCAGGATCCTTCCTTAACGTTGCTAAGCTGAGTCCCATTCTGTCCCGCTCTGAACTTGAGACAGTTCTCCACACCTTCATCTCCTCACGCTTAGACTACTGTAACTCTCTTTTCACGTGTCTGAGCAGAGCCTCCCTGAACCGTCTACAGGTGGTTCAGAACGCCTGTGCTCGGCTTCTGACCAAGTCCTCCAAACACACCCACATCACCCCGCTTCTCCTCCAGCTTCACTGGCTGCCAGTCAACTTCAGGGTTCATTTCAAGATCCTGGTTCTGGTCTATAGGGCCTTACATGGACAAGCACCATCATACATTGGTGATCTTCTTAGTCCCTACACCCCCAGCAGGTCCCTGAGGTCCAGTGATCAAAGCCTACTGGTTGTGCAGCGCACCAGGCTAAAGACCAAAGGTGACAGATCATTTGCTGCTGTGGCCCCCAGACTCTGGAACTCTCTCCCCCTGAGCCTGAGATCAGTGGACTCAGTGGTCTCCTTTAAAAAGCAGCTGAAGACTCACTTGTTCAAGCTGGTTTTGTATGACCTTCTTCACCTCTCTCTCTTTATTCTGCTCTCCCCACCTATTCCACCTTCCTCAGGATCCACTGATTTCCCTCTTTCCTGTTCACTCTCTCTCTCTTTCTTTACATTTTTTAATCACAATTGTCTCTTTTTGCTCATTTTAAATATATTTTTAACCATTTTCTAAATTCTTTTTTATATTTTTACTTTTTTTTTGTGAAGCGCCTCGTGATTTTTATCTTGAGAGGCGCTATAGAAATTATATTTTCTTCTTCTCCTTCCTTTACACGACGACACCTTTGGCTTCGTGAACTTCAAACGGAAACAGAGATGTGAGTAACCTGGTGGAACACAGCAGGATCCTTCAAACACAAGAGCAGGACTTCCATGATGAGTCCTGTGCGTGTGTTTCCACACACCAACAGGAAGTAGAGAGTAAGCCACACGGGACCAGCGAGAGTCGTACGCATGACTTATCTCCACTAAGAACCCATCTGTGATCTCATAATCATCTGCAGAGTCTTCCTCCTCCCATTATCACTCCTCTGACACCTAAATGTGTGTTTTGGTGTCGTTCTACGAGCTTTACGGTTTCCATCTCACGGTATGAAAACCATAAAAGGCCGTTTATGTCTGACATTTTTCATTCTGCCTCCTGGTTATTACAAACAGAGCTGCAAACTACGCCCAAAGTAATAATATCTGACATTTTCATACCAAGAAACATCTACTTAGCTTCTCCTCGTCTCGGTTTTCAGCCAGGACGGCGTCGTGACGGCGCTGGCATTTGTTGTGAGGAACAACTTTCTCTCGTTTGGTGATTTATGAACACGACAGACAACGAACGCAGGAATGGAAAAGTTCATCGGAGGCGCCTAAAGACATCAGCTGAGGGGTGGAGCCTGAACCTAAAGACTTAATTAGAAAAACAGAAAAAAGCTCAGGCTAGATTTCCTAAACCCAGTCAGCAATGACCCTGGGAAGGTTAAAGGTCATTTCCAGACCGTCTGGAATCCATCATGTTGCTGAGAGAAAGATTCATCGCGAGGGGTAAACCTCTTCATCTCAGCAGGTCGGAGGTCAAAAGAGCCAAGAGCTCCGTCTACAGGCCTCAGCAGGTGAGAGGTTAAAGGTCATGAGACCGAATCAAACAACAGGAAATTAGATTAGATTAAGTTTATTTGTAAAGGGACAGTACATATTAATGGACATATATATGATTATACATACGTAAATATGCAAGATTATAGCCAAGGCTAATTTCCATCTCTAGTCCCTCAGCAGGTTGACAGCTGCTACACATGTGTGAATACAAACAATCAGGAAAACAAATACAAAACAATGTTGTGATCCTAAAATTAAAGAAAAAAAAAAAAAGAATAAAAAGATAAAACATTTCATAATACACCCTAATTTGTAAATTAACTACTTCCGTTTACCCTGTATTAAAACTTAAAAAGTAGCCGCACAAGTTAAAATTTTCCACATATACATATAAAATATAGTCATACACCATTTAGCAGCAAGACAGTATAATAGTCCCCACCTCAATGGAAAAACACTCTTTACCTTGTCCTTAAAT